CCTTCTCATGTGGCAGAGCTAGACCGTGCTGGCAGGGAAGGCACCGAGCCAGCCCCATCTGTTTCCATCTGTCGTTTGCTTCCCATTGTGGGAGGTGCAGGGAGTGTAAGACCACAAAGCCAGGCAATAAATATGGAAATGTGGGTTGGGACTTCATGTTAGTGCCCAGAGAGGCTCAGGAATTTGCCCACTTTTAACATGATTTTAAAGCCATGATTATAATCTGCTCCCTTTAGAAGCAGGAATCAAGGGCCTATCTAATCTGGAGCAGGTTTGCCATGTGTAGCCAGAGGAAGGGAGAGAGGGATGGAGGGGGGAGAGGAAGGGAGGGGGAGAGGGAAAGGGAGAGGAAGGGGAAAAGGGAGGGGAGAGGGAGAGGCTTAAGAAGTGAGAGAAGCAGAAGTTAAATGGCCAAGAGGAGGAATGGGAATGGACAGAATGGGTGGAGCTGAGACTGGTGGAGGAGCCGCGAGGGCCACCCTTGGTCACCTGTGCTTCCCCTGCACTCGCAGCTTGTGCCTTGCAACTCCTCAGCCCAGCCAGGGCCGGGAGGAAGCAGTGTGTGTGAACAGGGAATAAAGTGGCAGGAGAGGATCAGCCCCTCTCCTGTCCCCATGGCTGCTGTCCCCCTTCCTGTCATGGCTGCCTCCGTTGCTGGCCATCACTGACTCTGGCCCGTTGCCAGTCATCATCATCATCATCATCATCACCATCCTCGTCATCTGCTTCCATGTGGCACCTGCCCCCACCCTCCATCTACAGCAAGCTTCTCGCTGCACCTGGAGGCCCCGGGTCCTCAGTCCTTTCTCCTTTACAGGCAGCTGTCCCCCAGGCCGTACATCCTTTCCACCCTTCGCCCAGGAAGTACCTCTTCCTCCAGATGCAGTTCGATGGGCTGCCCCGTCATGAAGGCTCCCCACACGTCCCGGCGGCGCTGGTCTCTCCCTCACCTGAACCCCAATAGGCGCTCTCACCTGAATTTCAGGGGTGATGGCGCGCCCCACCAATCCCAGCACAGGAACGGCTCGTGGGCACGGGCATTCACCATGACCCAGGCACCCTGCTGAGTCTGTTACTTGAACTAACTCACCCTCACGACAATCGGACAAGGAGGGCTCTGTCACCAACACGGTGCCCAGGCCGCATGGTGCGCAAACGGGGAGCCAGAATTCAAACCCGAGCCATGCGACCCCACAGCCTTGCTCGGAACCACCGGCGCTCTGCGCACCTTGCTGCCGGAGCCCTTGTACCCCGAGTTATAGCCATTCCCGTGTCTCTGATTCCAACCCCGGCTCTGAGGCCCTTGAAACAAGAATTGACTTTCTCATATTGGATCATCCAATGCTGCAGTGGTTCCCGAGAAACAGAGCCCGAAATGGTGATTTGGGGCAGGTGATTTATTGAGGGAGAGCTCTCAGGAGGAATTAGAAGAGAGTAAAAGAAGCAATACAGGGGCGAGGGGAACACTCTGGGAAGGCGTGGTTTTCAGAGGTCTTGCCTCTGCCTGAACCCAGGGGGGCTCTGGAGTGCGAATTGTATCAGAGTTTGTCCCAGAGACGAGGCTGGGCTTGTCCTCACCCCCATCAATCCTTGCCTGTAGCTCACGCCCTAATGGGTGAGACGACATAACCCCCCAGGCAGCCCCGCGAGCAAGGGCAATGCTTCAGAGAAAGGCGCAGCCAGCGCCCACGGCATCCAGGACATGGGTGCGCCTTCTAGTAACGGGGATACAGACCGTGTGCCCATAGCATCTGTTACAGTTGTAACTGCAAAAAGTATTAAATAGCATATGAGCCAGACAGCACACCTGCAGGACCTTTTTATCCAGCTGTGGCTGTCTTCCCCCTCTGCAGTGGACACGCCAAGAGCCCAGGTCCAGCGAATCAATGAATTAGAAGTCATTGTGTCCACTACAAGAGACTTTGAGACCTCATCTTTGGCAGATATCCAACATACACCGTTCTATCTCCACATATTGTCTGAACTACAGCACAAAATATTAACTGAAACACATACATGTTGTTTGGGTTTTATTTTGATGGGCCACTGCTTCCAAAGAAGGGAGAACAGGAAATAAGGGTGGTGGACATTTTTAAATTTGCAGCACCAAAGAATGTATTGATCCAAAGTTACCAAAAATTGAAAATAAAATGTGAAGAGGGAAACTGCTGAGCCCAAACCAGTGTGGCTGATTGACAGTGTGGCTGACATTTACATGGTTCTGTCACAGCTGAAGGGGAAAGAGGGGTTTCTTTCCTGGCTCCTCCAGTGCATCTGATATGGGTAGCTCTAGAAATGAAGCAATATTGATTTTTTTTTGTTTGTTTTTTGCTTGTTTGCTGTGCCCTCTCTTTTAAAAATAACTGAATCTAATCCTGTTTGGGTCAGCATAACAGGAAAGTAATCATCTGTTCCTGAGGGTAAAATGAAATCTGGTCCAAAAAGACTCTACCAACATTCTATTTCAGTTTTTTGGAGCAGGTTTTCAACTTTAATGATAAGTGGAAGCCTTCATTATGATAAAGGCTTTGCCATCTCCTGTGGCTCCGTCTGTTAGCAGGAGGGCTGCCTAACTTGTCTCCTTTGCTTGTTTCCAAAGAGACCTCTCACTTCCCAATTGTCCAGGTAGCATTGTCAACTGAGGTGTTTTTTCTCAGGTCTGTGGACATGCTACGGCTTTGTGTTTTCCTTGCAGATCTTCCCATATGTTGTGGGGTTTTTTTTAACTCAGCACAGCATCCCAGGGGGGTGCACATGTTGGATGAGAGAGTGCTATTGTGTTGGGGCAGTGATCTGACAGAGTCTCCCCAGGCATCTCTCTGACCTGGGGTGATTTAATAAGTAGTCTGAACTATCCTCCACAGATTCTCACTGTCTCTGGCTGGCAAGGCTGAGTGATAGCCCCATATTAATTATCAGCTCCAGTCCTTAGCCACCATGTTGCCATTTCTACCCATGGTAGGTTCTAAATCTGACTATACATTAAAATCACCTGGGAAGACTGTTAAAAATCTAACTCCTGGGCCCTACCTGGGACCTGCCAAATCAGAATGTACCCAAGGATGAGGTTCAGGAACCTTTATTTTAATGAGCTTCCCAGCACCCAGCCAGCATGGGTCCTCTGCCCAGAATGGTGTGGTTTCCACCTAAGGTAACGTCAACTAGAGACATCTGGCCTGGAATAAGCCATTCGGAAGGTCACAGTAGAAGGTGAAAAGAGCTTTCCACTCTTCTCCAATGCCGGGGGTAGGCAGGTGGGCGGAGGGCAGAGTGAAGGTGGAGGTGCAGAACAGCCAAATTATCCTGCATGCTACTTACCTGTTCTCATTCCACCATCCATCCGTCCATCCATCCATCCATCCATCCATCCATCCATCCATCCATCCATCTATGCATCTGTCCATTCAATCAGACATATATTGAGCTAATGCTGTTTGGAGTGCCCTATAATGTTAAATGTACAAATACCATACAAGCCAACAGTTCCCTTCCTAGAGATTTACCCAAGAAGAATAAAAACATGTCCACACAAAGACTTACAGCAACTTTATTCGTCGTATTAAAAGCTGGAAAGAGCTGAGGTGTCCATCAGCAAGAAGATGGATAAACACCCTAGCCATCTATACTATGGAATACTGCTCAGTGATTAAAAGACGGACTGCTGCTCCTGGCAGCAACATATGTGACCCTGAAAACATTCCACTGCGCAAGAGAAGTAAGACATGGGAGAGCACATATTAATAATTCCATTTCTGTGCAGCTGACAGCACGTCTAAGCTATGGCGATATAGAGCAGCTGAGTGCTTGGAGCCGATGGACTGGGCAGGGGCATGAGGGCACTTTTGGGGGTGATAGAAATGTTCTGTGTATTAATATGATAGTGGTTTCATATATACATATATATATATTTTTTTGTAAAAACTCATCAAACCATGTGCTTAAAATGAGTGCATTGTGTATGTAAATTATACCTCAGTGAATACTGACTCACTAAGTGATACTCAGCATGGGAGAAATCATGAAGTTTACAGAGGAATGTCCAAAGTTTAGGAAGTGGCACTCAGGTACATGCCAGAGAGTGGACAGTGTCCTAAAAGGAGTGCAGATGAAATGCCCTGAAACTTATGTGGGAGGTAAAATTTCTTCCATGGAAGGACAGGAGTGTTGGTGCCTCGTACAGTAAGTGACATTTCTGCTGAGCCCCTGAGAAAAAGTAAGTGCATGTGGGGCCAGAATGGATGTATAAGAGACGCTGGGTTGAAATTAATATCAAGAGCCTGAGATGTGGGAGGGGAGGAGTCCCTAAAAGGCCACACGGACCCTGAGGGGAACAAGAAGAATGGGGGTGACCCCACCACTCTGGCGTTTGTGGCATCCAGAGGCCTTTCCAGTCAGTGAGACCTGGACAGTTATCAATTTCCCCCTCTGTCCTCTGCTCAAAGAACTTGAGTGGCAGTAGAGCAAACTGGCAGGGCCAGGACCAGGGTGGAGCAGTCGAGGCCCCAGAGAAAAGACGTAGGAGGCAGGGTCATGCAAAGGCTGAGCTGCACCTACAGGACCAGAGAGTGAGTGCCTCACATTCCTCACCCTAGGCCTGGCCCTGCTTTCTGGTTCGCTGGGAGCAGAATCCTGGACTCATTCCTTCGTAGCCATGCCTGAGTTCCTACTTCATTCCAGGCACCGTGTTATGACATAGTAGATACAGTGTCCTCAGCAAGCTCACAGCCTGCCAGGGACCAGAGATGTAAGTGTGAGAGGGGAAACCCAGGGGCTATGAGTACTCAGAGAAGAGACCCTCAACCCAGACTGGAAAGCGGCGGGCAGCAAACTTGCAGGAGAAAGTGAAAGGTCAGCTAAGGTTTGAACGAGGAAGGGTGTAGGGCAGCTCCTTCTGGACCTGCCCGGTCTAGGATTTGGAATGTGGCCTCAGAAACCGAGAGCCCACCCAGGTGCTGACTTGCAACAGCTGATGTGACTGTGTCTTCTCCACGCATTTGTAGATTTGTGCCGTGGTTGAGGAAGCCCTACAGTGCCCTCCAGTCGCAGGTGGAAGCCATCCTGGTGACCTCCGCCTCCTCCAGCTCGCCAGAAGTCTCAGCAGTAGCATCCCCTGAGATTGATCTAAGTGATTTTGTTAAGTAAGTGCAAAGCCAGAATGGATTTTTTTTTTTTTTTAATAGCATTCTTCTCTCTGCACTGACTTACATTCTCAAACTCATCCCTTATTTATTCATCCAACCACTCACCCGTCAACAGTTTAATGAGTGCCTCCTATGTGTGAGGCCCGGAATAGGCATCTGGGATATGGAGTTCAAAGTCATCTCTGCCCTCAGGAGGCCATAGCTTCCTGCGTCCTGGGGGACTGAGCCCTTCCGACCACATTGCCCTCTCCAGCTGCCCAAGGTCTACAGCCAGGGTCAGGTCAAGGATAGCAAGCAGAGGAGGATAGGACAACTGGTCAAACATTATATCCTCACAATAAAATGCTCCATTAAACGATGAAACTTAACACTGAGCACTGAAGATACATTCAAATTGTCTGAAGGATTGTCAGAGCTTCCCAGAGCTTTTGGTAAGTCGGACATGGGCTTGATAGGCCAGGAAAGAAGGGTTGGGCCTACAGGAAATTGACCAGTTTGATGCCCTGGACTGCTTATTTGGGGGCAGGGAGTGACAGAGCACTGACCACTGACCTCTTGAGAAAGGCTCCCCTTGAGTGAGAACCCCATTTGTTCTTTGGGGCACAACAGTGGAGGGAGGAAGACGGGGTTCTCATGTTGAAGGTGTGTTGTGATGGCTGCCAAACGAGTGATTCTCTACATTTCATTAACTCCCCAGGACTGTCTTTGTGGATGAAGATATTAGGTCTAAAGAAAGAGAACACAGAAAAGCAGAAGTGTCCAGCCTGATCATCTCAGATGTACGCTTTCCTTTCCCCGGGGTGGATTGGCAAGTTGAGGGTCCTTCCCATAAAGCAGAGGCAGAGGTAGATCCAGGAGCAGAGTGGCAAGGGCAACGCTGGGGTTTGGCTGCAATGAGGCTGCGAAACTTTATCCTGGTCAGGTTCCAACCAAACACCTACAGAGCCAACACCTCAGTGAAAGCCCAGACACCTCAGCAGTAGGTTTTCTCTATAATGGAAAAACCAGTTTCCTCTAAACCTTAGTGATCTCATGCTCTTCTCAGCCCCTAGATAGTGGCTACAAGAGGAGAAATAAATATTTTCCTCAATAATTTCACAGTAAAAACAAAGAGGAAATCAAGAGAGTTTACAAATTCATACCCTTAAATTCTCTTAGAATGATGTAAAAGCAAATCATTGGAGACGCATATATTTTCATACAAAGATGTTTGTTACAACACTTTAGAAATAGCAAAAAAAAAAAAATGGAAAAATGAATTCTTGTATGTCCATGAGGATAGACGATATGCAGTGGCAGAGTGGGGGAAGCAAGCATTGTCACCCTTGTGGGTAGGAGTATGAGTTGGCATAGCCTCAGTGACATATGATTTGGCAAATGTATCAGAATTTAAAGTGCACACTTCCTCTGCAGGGAAATTATTCTCCAGATACACCTTCACATTTACATCTAGAGGTGTAACTATTCTTGTACACTGCAGCTTTGCTGGTAAAAGCAAAAAAAAAAATTTTTTTTGAAAATAACTCCAACCAATAGGAGGCCTGTTGAACAAACTAAATTATATCTGCACAAGAATTACAGTATGAAATTCTTTTGCAGAAAATGTGAACATTCTTTATATACTGACTTGGCGCAATCTCTGATATGTTAAATAAAAAATACTACGTGTTCAATTTTTTTAAACTATTTTAAATGATGCTTATGAAAATATTTAGTCACATGGGAAAGCAGACCTCATGTTATAATGTCAACTGAAAAATCAGAATACAAATATATATACATATATACACACATATATTCATATATCTACAGTAGAATCTCTTGGTTGATTTGTATTTCTCTTTGAATTTTTCTGTATTTTCCAAATATTTTATGAGTATATGTATGTATATAAAACACTTGTCTTTGGAATGTTAATTTTTTTCTATTTCCAAAGATGTTTGTCATAGAAAACTCAAGAATTCAGGAAAGTGAAAGCAAAAATCCTCAAAATCCAATCATTTATAGAAAAATATTACTGAAATTTTAGCAACCAACCTCTCAGATGTATTTATTTGCATATGCAAATCTCTGAAGGAATTTACATGCATACATCTTCAGGTGTAATACAATGGCATATGTCATTTTACATCAATGAAAGTGCTTCTTCACTCAGTAATCTGTATGCACATCCTTTCTAGTCCATAAACACACACTGCATCATCCTCCACAGATAGAGCGCCACGTACACTTCATTTGAGGTGATCCCCTATTGATAGGTATTTAGTGGGCTTCTTGAGTTTTGCTATTATAAATAATACTGCAGTAAACATCCTTGTACATACATTTTGGGCAATTGTCCAATTATCGCCATAGGAAAAAATGTATTACAGGCATACCTCAGGGACATGGCAGTCTATTTCCAGACCACCACAATAAAGTAAATATAGCAATAAAGCAAGTCACCTGAATTTTTTGGTTTCCCAGTGCATATAAAAGTTGTTCACACTATAGTGTAGTCTATTTAGTGTGCAATAGCCCATGTCTTTTTTTTTTTTAAATGTACATACCTTAATTAAAAATTACTTTATTGCTAAAAATTGTTAACCTCTCTGAGCCTTTAGGAATTCAAAATCTTTTTTCTGGTGGAGAATCTTACCTTCAGTTTGTAAACAAACAAACAAAAACCCCATAAGCAATATCTGCAGAGCACGATAAAGTAAGGCGCAATAAAACGAGGTATGCCTGTATTCTTAGAAATATATACAACACACTTCATTTTTCTCCCAGTGAGGGGAGGAGCACATTGGTGACCCCATCATAAATGCTTGCTAACTTTTCCTCACACCTCTAAGTTCGAGGGATTCAAAGGGAACTCTGCTGAAACAGAAAATAGAGCCAAACCAGGGCCAGGTGCAGTTTCAGGAAGCCCTGTGGATCTCTGGAGGGGCCGAAATGCTTTCGGTTGGCAGAGGAGAAGTAAACACCTCCTGCGCCCTAAGGTCATCTGACACACTAACTCTTGTCACTGAGCATCTGCTTCAAGTTAGCTATTTAAATCTTGCCAGAGCACTATTACCACCATGACCATCATATATTTTTAGGGTGCTGAGCTAGTCTGCTTGGATGGAGTCAAAGAAGTTAAAGTGAGGGATTAATTCATAGATGGACTGAACTTTAATTTACCTCTTGCAGGCCGTTTGTCCTGATAGATGCTCTTACACAGAATGACTTTCTCTGCAGGTGTTTGATATTTTGCCCCTCTATGGGGAGCTGTCGCCATATAGTAGCTTCCAGGTAGCTTTCACCTTCTATGGACACTGTGACATCATCGCACAGGCTAAAGCTCTGTGCAAAGTGGAAGGAGGGCCCACCTATGAGATAACACTAAGGGGAGAGGCATCCATGGTCAACTATTCCTTTGACACCAAGGACATCAACTATGGATTACAGGTATTGCCACCCATCGGGAGCTTTCCTGCCTTTGCCTTATACATTAGTAATCGTCCTGGTGCTCTAATCTCTCTGGAGCCGCCCCCCCCCCATCGCCAAGAGTCTCACCATCTCCCTTATCCTTAATCCCTCCCCTGCCTCCCTAACCGTGATCATCCCCCCCACTGTCAACTGTCTGCCAAGTGTAATCACTTGCTTTCCTCACTGTCTCCTGAAATTCAGCTTGTTAGACACTAAAATTTGCACCTTACCTCTCAATCCAGAAGCCCATTCCAGCTTCTCTGTTTCTCTCAGGGACCCTACTTCTGACTCAATCCGTTGGGTTTGCGATCTCCACTGCATTTTCCACTGCACTCTCTCCTTCGCCTCCACACACATCCTTGCAGCATCCATGGTTTGCTGATTCACCCAGTGGGATCCCTGAGTTCGTTTTCCCTTCCCAGCGCCACTGTGGTTATCACACTGCAGGTTCTCATCAAGCCACGCCTGAATTATTATGGCAGTTTTTGGCAAACTGTCATGTGCATACGAGTCACCTGGGAATCTTGTTCAAGTGCAGATTCCGATCCAGTAAATACAGGGTGGAGCTGAGAATTTGCATTTCTAACAAGCTTCTAAGTGATGCCTGTGCTGCTGGTCCATGGACCCCATGGAAGCCAGGGATTACAATGCATTCTTAGCTCCTACTGCTAACCCATCTAAACATCATTGCCGGATAGATTTTCCCCAAAATGCATTTTTATCCCATCCATTCCTGAACAGTTAACCCAGCAGCATTTGGGAAAGCTACATGGCACTGAGAAAAGAGTATGGTTTTGTAGTCAGAAGAACTATGATAGTATTCTGGTTTTACTTCCTAATGACAGTGTCACCTTGGGCATATCACCTGACCTCTCCAAGCCTCAGTCTCCCTCTTCTATAAAATGGGAATGAGGTAGCAATGCCTGTCTCACCAGGTGGTTGTGCTTATTTAAGTGACGGGTCAATACCGTGCTTGGGCCAGAGAAGGCCTTCCATCATGAGGTCCTTTCTCTGTCACCCATTGGATCAGATCCAAGTATCTCCACTGGGTGAGGGTATCCCAAGCCCCTCTATTAACTGATGATTCTTACATTAAACCTTGTTCTTCATAATTCCCCATTATAGCCCATTCATTCATTTGTGGCCAAGCTATTTTACCCCCTGGCCCTAATTCATCCCAGCGCCTCCTGCCTGCACACTAACTCTTAAATTATTCCACTCGTCCTGCACCCTGCCAGCCCAAACCTACACGTACTGTCACTTGTCTTTCTCTTACTTTATAGTCTCCTGGCACTTAAGTATATAGTCTTTGCAATAATATAATGTACCTTCTAATTTTTGCTTTGGAATAATTGCTAGTTAATTCTATGTCTTTACATCTTCTCTTCCCAATTAGATTTTGTGTTATGTACTCAAAGACCATATTTCCTATCAAATTTTTAATGAGGATTAGATCCCCATAATATAGCTACTGCAGGTATAATTGCTGAATTGTATATGTGTATGTGTGTGTGTGTGTGTGTCTATAGGTTAAAGATTGTGGCTAAAATCAAATTCACCCAACACCTATTGAGACCTTTTTTATTATGCTAACCAAATAGAATTCTCTTTCATTCCTTATCTCCACTCTGGGTAAGTAGTTCTGGCTGAACTCAGAGGGTATTTTTTAAAGCAGCTGGTCTTTGCCTGAGCTTGTCCTAAGAACCCCTAAAGTGGCCTTAGTTTGTGGTTATTGGACTTGCTGGTTAGCTGCTGAATTATGTGAGCAAAATCTCAGGAAAAAGGACATGTCTGGCCTATTATTCCTATGTCTTGCCATATAAATAGAAAAATTCATTCTAGAACATTCTGAACTCAAATCTTTTTTAAAAGAGCAAATCTTCTTGGTGTAGAAAAGTTTACCTTAAGATCCTCTAATGTAAGTACTTTGTGATATAGAAACTGAAGTCCGGGGAGGTGAGATGCTCATCCCACAGCCATAGTGAACTATATGAATTGTTAGAACTAAGGTGGAGCCAGGTGTAAGGGGTCTAGTGCTCCTCCAGCCCCGGTCAGCACTTTTTTGTGGTACTAAAATGAGAATTGGCAGCGTCTACATCATGAGAAATAAAATCCGCGTCTGTGAGGCACGTTTGTCTAGCCACCTTTGTTGGGATGATAGCAGCTTCCCAAAGGGTGGTAGCGGGGATCACTGTTTTCCTCCCTCTGCTCAAGCTGTTTGACCGGGTCACAGAGAATAAAATCACGCTGAAGAACACTGGGAAAGTTGGCTTCGAGTTCAAGGTGCTGACCAAATACCAGTCTTCACTGGACAACCTTCTGCCCGGAGTGCCACTAATCCTGCCTGTCTCAGTAAGTGGCCATTTGATGATGGTCAGAGGGGCCCAAATTCAAACCTACAAGCCACACCCCAGAGGTACGTCACATTTCACTAAACATTCGCTGCCAGGATTATGGGAATGGTGTTATTAAAATTAAAACTAAAGAGCTCTCAGAAGCAAGAAAAATAAATAAATCCAAGCACTCCACTCATTTACTAAACAAGTATGTCCCGAGTTCAAGCACCAGGGGTCCAGCAGTGAATGAGACGATACAATCCAATGGATTTTTTTTCATGATTATAAGATAGTGTATTTCTACTATGTCCTCACACTTCCCTTGTAATTCCTTGAAGCTAAGGGCCTCCTGTCCATTGATTTCAACAAATAAGAGCAATTTTTCATTAGCAGGTGGTGAAAACACCAGTGGACTTTAGTGAGCCAAACTGGTTTTCAAAGCAAATGCAGGAAGTAGCTTCTTGTACGTAGTGTGCTAATCTTTCAGTTTGAAGGAAGCCTTGTTGAATTTTTCTCACCATGAAAATAAATCTTTGGGGAGGTCTGTGGGCGGAGAATGCCCAGCACCATTGGCCCTTGGGACTCTCTAGCCCATCCGCGGGGCCCATCGCCAATGTTAAAGTTCTCTCTGGTCTTTCTGCTGCACAGGGTTTCATCAGTTCGCTTAATGAGCAAGTGTTGAAGGTTTACTACTTACCTGGAGTACCTGAGGTCTTTGAAAGAAGTTTCCAGATACAGATCGCCCACCTGGACCCAGAAAACATCACACTGAGTGGAGAGGGAATCTTTCCCCGAATCTACCTCGATCTCCCCAGAAACCTCAGAGGTACGACTACCTGCTGTTGTAGTTCCCCACGGGGAGCAAAACATGCGCGTTAGCTTAGCTTGTTCGAAGGTTGAAAGCTACTCGCATTGTTAGCTTGAGAGGTCCTTGCTGGTTCCCTTCTGTGTTACTCCTCAACTGCAAAAAAGTCGAGAGTTGAAACTGCCTTGGCGACCTGAGTTTAGTGAGACAAGACATGGCCATGGCGGTCCCAAATTAAGATCCCCTGGTCAATTTTGCCATCACTGAATTACTTACAGAGGCATCAGGAAACTGCACTTCCCAAGGCTCTTCTTCCAGCACCGTTCCTTCCAGCTGTGCTCCCCCTCCCCTCTGCCCTTCCCCAGGAGCACACTCACAGGTGCCCACTGAGAACGCAAAGGCTGCTTTTACTGCAAGGAGTACACTTCTCAAAATATAAACTGTACGGAAAAGCAACCAAGGCTCTGACCCCTTTGGGGCCTTACAGAGTTCGGAGGCTAATTTAGACTGTTATTCACCGTCTGCCCACATCTCTCGCCAAGGACTTCCTGATAGCGTCTGGCCTCCAGAGCTATCCCTCTGTACCAGGCAGTTTCTGTCTTGGCAGATCCCAAAGCTCAGGTGAGCAGCTCTTTTATAGCCATAGACTCTGGTTCTTTCTTGTGGATCAAAGGCCAGAGAAACCCCTCACTCCTCTTCCTACTGAACCCCTCAGGCTCCTTGAACTCCACATTCCCTAAGCAGCTTCAGACTAAACCTTCCACCTCAGCCTGTCCTCCTACCCCATTCCCCAAAGTCACTGACTCAACTGTTGATAATCATCTATTAAATCCTAATTTTCCACTCCCTGAAAATACGAACACAACCATTAGTAAAACTAAACCCATGTCACACCCTAGCACCTAGAGTTCCAGCAAACAGAAGTTAGTCCAACTCCACATACAGCTGTCAGGAAGGAAGGCCTTTACCACACGGCTGAAAACTGGGCACCCAGCTGGCCTCTTTAGGCAGTAGACATGGTTTGGGCAGTTCAGGGCTTTAAAATAATTGAAATCTGGATACTATTAGTTGGGCCTTCTGTGCTTCCCCACAATCCCAGGGCTTCCTGCTGTTTCCTAAAAGACCCTGTAATTACTTTGCCTGCCTTGCACTGCTTACTGGTGAACTTGGGTGTCTGTAATCTCTCCGCCAATCGCCTACCCTCCCTGATTCAGGTGATTGTAGCTTATTTTGTTGCAATTAAAGCAACTTGAGATTTAATAAACATGAAGACTAACTGAAAGAGTGACCAGCCGTCTGGGTTTGTCCAGCCTGAGGGGTTTCCCAAGTCCTGCAGCTGACGACAGTGCTGGAACTGGGAGAGCACCAGATAAGCTGGGATCCAGGCGGTCGCCCTACAGCTGGCTTAGGATGCTACTGCCGTCAGCTTCTCGAGAACCAGCCGAAAAGCTCACTAAACTCAGTGAGGTCCCTGTTACAAATCCGACCCACTCACAAAATTACCCCATCCCCCAAAGCAGAGAAAACATGGCAAGGAAGGTACCAAAAAGTTCATTTCCCTGCTCACTTTATTTAGCCTGAGCTAAAAGCCTGTGTTTGGGGTATAATTCATATATTTCTAACCATCCTGATTTTCTTCTCCCTCCTACCCCCACAGGAAATGAAAAGTATGAAACCTTCTTAGATCAGGCCAGAAAAAACCTAGAAAAAGAGTTCAGCAAATATGAAACATTAAATCACTCAGAGACCACTGAGGAAATGCCCGAGGATGACTATTTTAAGGTAAGACTAGCCTCACTCTGCACAGAATGTATGTGGCAGAAGGACAGTATGTGCAAAGGCCCTGGGGCAAGAAGGACATGGTGTCTCTGAGAAATGGAAAGTAGAAAAAGGTATAGCAAAGAAGGGAGGGGAGGGGATAAGGGAACCAAGATGAGCCTGAAGAGGTGAGCAGCCCCTAGTGAACCTATTACGCATTTTGAACTTTACCCTGGGGGCAATAGGAAGTCACTGAGTGCTTCCACTGAGGCATGGATAACCATATTTTGCATCTTTTATTTTAAAAGCTGATGGAGTAATTATAGATGAGAGATGGTGGTAGTGTAAACAAAGGTGACAACTGAGAAAGCAGGGAGAATTAGGTGGATTCAAGAAATATTTTGGAGGTAGATTCGTCAGGGGTGAATTGGATGTGGGAGTGAGGAGGAGGTGACTTCCAAGTGATTTTCTTGGATGACAAAATAAGGAGGGGCACTCAGATAAGAAACTCAGGGCGAGAAGCAAGTTTCAGGTGAAAGAGGAGCGTTCAGATGGTCCATTATTAACCTGAGATTTCTGTGCACCATCCAAGCAGAGGCATCCAATAGGGAGCTGGAACCACTGCTATGCACCTGGGGGTGGAGATAAGCTGGAGAAAGTGATTTGAGAGTCTTCAGATGGTCATTGTAATCACAGGAGATGGTGAGCTTCCCAGGAAGTGTTTTGAGTGGTCAGGGAAGAGTGTAAATTCGGAGTGGACACTTCAGGTACCCAACACCTGAGGCGGGGAGAGGGACAGCCAAAGGGGTTCCGGAGCTATCAGGAGTGCGTGGTGCCTCCCAGGTGGGATCGAGGCCAAGAACCGGTCTCTAGAGGGAGGGAGTGACCCAGCTTGTAAATAAAGGCTGCCCCTGCTGTGAGTTAGGAAGGCAAAACCCCCAAATGTCCTCTCCCACCGCTCCCTGAAATTCCCCTCTTCACAGTCTACTCCTGACATTGAAGGCTGCTTTCTCTCTATGCTCTTCTTTTAAAGAGCAAATGTACATGAGAAAGGATTATACATACAGCTGAGAGAGCTTAGATTGGTTAAAAGGGAGTTCTCAAATGGGAAATGGGGGTGTCGCTGGGGAGACTCGGGACCCCACAGGGGGTATCTGCAGTATTTTGCAGATACTGAAGGTTAATCTTAGCTCCAAGAAAAATCATAATTAATAACAGCAGCTACCATTAACTGAACTCTTATACCAGGCCTGTGCCACGCTACCGACCTGCATTATCATTTCATTAACTCCTCCCACCCTGGGGCAGCAGGAGCAAGGTTCCATTATCATCTTAATTAAGGTTTCGCAGAACTCATGGAAGCAAGTGCATTTCCCAAGGCTAGCAGCAGAGCTAGGATTTGCATGCAGGCCTGTCCAAATCCTAACACCATGTTCTCAGCCTCTGCCCTCTCCGGCTGGACCCCCCCCTTCCCCGAGGGGCAGCGGTGCATCTCCACCTGCTACCTGCCTTCCCAGGGGGCACCTCGTCAGAGCCTTAGCAGGCTGGTGGTCCCTCGGGGGGTTTCAGAGAATGCGATGGCAGGAGCAGAGCGAGCTAGCCCTCCTGCATAAGCCAGGGCTCCACTGACCACAGGGTTCAAGAATCAAGATGACTGGGAAAGCCTGTAGGTGAGGCAGGCTCTTGTCAGATCTCGTCACAGTTCCTGCCTCTCCCTGTTGGTCTCGTTCCAGGCCACTTCACACATTAACCTTTCCTTCTTGGCCCTGAGCCTCAGGTTGGGACCTTCTGGAAGAGTATTTCCCTACCTTTTTTCGCTATCACTCCCTCCAAGACATTTTTTCCCACTGCCCCATGAAATGCATTTGTTATACATAAAACTTACTCTCTTTGAATAGTTTGGTAGTAAATTTTTTAATTTTTATTTTGAAATAATTATAACTCACAGCAAGCTGTGCAAAATGTTTTCCCAATGGCAACACCTTACATAACTATAGCACAATATCAAACTCAGGAAATTGACATTGGTGCAAGCTACAGAGCTTATTCGGATTTCATCAATTTTATGTGCACTGGTGTGTGGGTGGGTGTGGGGTTGCTTCTTTGCAATATTTTCATGTGTAGATTTATGTAGCCACAGCCACAATTAAAATACAGAGCTGTTCCACCACAAGGATACTTGTGCTTGTTCGGGAAACAGAATTCAACGAAATCTTCCAACCCAGAAAATCTCTCCACAAAAGTAGAAGAGAAAGAAAGAAAATTATTATTAAATAATTATTAAAACCAGAATGAGATCTGTGTCACAGGCAGTCCACTCAGAGATTGCAAAGACAAAAAGAAATCTCAGCCTTATATATATAGCCAAGCAGATGCAACCATTACATACACATTGTCAAATGAAACAGTAACTAATCCTTAAGTAAGAACTATAACTAGTCCTCAAATTAGAGGACTTGGCAGCACCATTTGTTACACATAGTTCATCCTAAATCCACATGGTAATTGGGGTGACCATCTGGGTTAGCTACTTGGCTTTATCCAAGGAAACCAAAGCTCTCTTGTTTTTATGACAGTGCCCTCTGACCTTAGGCTCTCACCCTCCCACAGAGACTGGGCGGTAGGGGCTCCATTGTCCTTGGCGATTATATCAAGGGACAGTCCCCAGGTCCTTGAGAAAGACACTCTGAGTTGTAAAGCTGGGAGGCTATATAGCCCTTAAAAAGATTTACATACATTTCAAAGAGACAGAGAAAGAATTTACAAGTTCTCTAAAGTAAATGCTCTATGAAAAGGGGTCGGGGAGAAGTCTCTTCCCTTATTTTCAAAAGGGCAAATTAAGTCTCTTATTTTTAATTGTATTTGCCCTTACTTGCAACTCCTTTATAACCATACCCATCCCTAATGTCCCCATCCCTTGCCCCTAGCAACCACTAATCTGTTCTTCATCTCTATGCTTTTGTCATTTCAATAACATTATATAAATGGAATCATACAATATATAACCTTTTGAGATTGGCTTTTTTCATTCAGCATGATGCCCTTAAGGTCCATGAATATTAATAGTTCATTCCTTTTTGTTGCTGAGACTACTGGTGCTATAGATGTACCAGTTCGCCTACTCCAGCCACTCCCATGAAAATGTTATTATTACACATAGACTGTATATCTGTTTATGTACTGTGGCCCTTTGGAGGGCCGCAAACCACTGTAATAGCTAAGATTTTTTTGCCTGCTCCATGAACCAATTTCCAGCCCTTGGGGGTGATATTGCCCACATTGAGAGTGCATGTCCTAGAAGATTTTGCTCACTTGCTCCTCTCTGTTGCTCCAGTTAAATGCTCAGCTCCAGATGGAAGTAGAGAGACTTATAGTCCAAAGCTATGCCATAGAACATCAGAAAACAATTATCCCCGATCTCACGGACGACGTCAGCCATCGGGGTCGCCACAGACTGGCCAAGTGAGTGCCCTTCCGTGTTTGTTCAGAGCGTAGGGAGCAAGCGCTGCCGCCCACAGAGCGCTCCCTGCAGGGGGTGATCACCCAGGGCTGCAGTGCGCGCACCGTGTCTGCTACCCTTCAGCCTCCAGCTAACCAGGCAGGACTCCGCCTGTTAAAGTCAGAAACCTCTGGCTTTGTCTAAAGGCCAGGCCAGTTCCAGGTTCATGGGGGCCCACGATGTAGGTGTGAACCTCTGAGGGAAGAGGTGTCCTGTTCTTCATCTCCATTCTGGGAGCCGTTCATTGTTCTCAGCTCCTGAGCGCAGCATTGTGCACAGGAGATAGAAGAGAGCCTCGCACTCTCTCACTTTTGGAAAAGCGACTGGTAAGGGGAGCTTGTTAACCATTTCAGAATCCAGCTGCCAGAGTATATCCTAGACTTTGGCTACCTCATCCTTGGTGACTCCCGAACCTACATCATCAAAATCACCAACACCAGTCACATCCCAGTGTCCTTCCACGCAGAAAAGCGTGTCCTTCACGATACAGGTAACCGGGCGAGGGAGACCCTTTCCCACTGCACCTTGTCGTTTCCAACAAGGCCATCTGTACTGTCTTCCTGGAGTAGAGTGTGTATGTCTTCTGGGATCAGCTGAAAGAACGGTTGGGTCTTTCATTGATTCTTTGAATGGTTATCCTGCCCCAGAGGGGCCCTAACTAAAGCAGCTCTTATTTGCACTCTTTCCTGCAAAGAAATTCTGTTTGTCTTGGTCCAGGCTTTAGTACTGAGCTAGATCGTGTAAAGAATCTACCCTACTGTGAAACAGAAATGTTTGAAGTGAGATTTGACCAACAAGGGACCAATCTTTCTGTTGGAAACAAAGAAGTCATTCTGCCCATCAAGGTAAGCGGCACCCCTGGGCCCAGCTGACACTCCCCAGCTTCTAGCTCTGCTGGTTGATCACCCTTGGGATGATCCAGTTACTATTTCAGAGCCATGATTCTCCCCCCAACCCTATCCCACATGCTGACAGCAATATTATGCCCACTCTAGGTGATTGGAGGGCCAACAGTTAACATCTATCTGCAAGCCAAGGTGACCATTCCCTCTATGACACTGTCTTGTGAAAAAGTGGAGTTTGCCACAACTCAGTGTGGACAGTGCCTTGTGGAAACTATTCAGCTTTCCAATCATCTTCAAGTTCCTTGTGAATGGTTTGTCGTCAGCCATAAGCCATTTAACAAGGTGAGTTGTGGTCTGTTGGTCCCTTTTTTCCATCTCCATTTCAGCCAGATTTCTAATTCTAGGCATTCACTCTCGTCATTTCACTCTCCTGCTCAGACTTTCAGGACAACTATTACCTCCTGAATAAAATATAATTCCTTAGGCCAGCACTCAAGGATCTATCAGGCTATGCTGTCTGGTGAATGTCATTCATCTTTGTACCCCTGGTATCTACACTTTCTCTGGTACCTGAGAGGCACTCAGTAAATGTAGATTGAGTGAGTAGAGTATGGAATAAGTCCATTTTCCATAGATGATTACCTAACTGTCTAATATTTATTAACCAGCTGGAGAAACACATGCCAAAGTACTTGAGACGGAAGCTACGTGCTGAATTAAAGCCGAAAACACGGATCTTTGAGATCCAGCCTGCTTCTGGGGTCTTGGATCCTGGTGAGAAGTCCAACGTGCAAGTGAGATTCATGCCCAAAGAAGAGGTAAGCTGTAAAGAAATGTGATTCCATTCAGACTCTCTGAATCTCTGAGCTTTACTCAAATTCCATGCTCCATTGGGTCACCCGGGAAGCTTTGAGTGGCCTGTGCCTCCCTCTTCTGATTATGACAGCTCAAGTGCTTCTGGTTCCTGTAGGAGCCATGTGGCCCAGTGGTTAAGAGCACCAGGAATCAGCACATCAATCTAACACATCGACTTTTATCAGCAGACCTGGGTTAATGGCCTTTTGCCTCTGCAATTAGAGGCTGTGTGGCTTTGAGCAAATTACTTAACTCTGCTCAATTTCAGTTTGCTCATAGATAAAATGAAAAATAATATTATGTGCCAAAAATCCCTTATTGCAATTCTGAGATCCAATAAGCTCCAAAAACTGGAAAAAAATTTCATACGTTTCAGACCCAAATTCATTTGGCAGAAAAACCTCATCTGAACTGACATGAGACTATTTAACCTTTATTTATCCCACTTAGCTTGCAGAATCTAACATTGCAATGCAGAAATATTAACGTGTTTGATTCCAGCACACCTGCCTCAGACCCTGCTGAGGCTGTTAGGTAACATAGGGTACTCTGTTTACCTTTTTAAAAATCTGAATTTGAACATGTCTGGCCCTGGGGGCTTCAGGTAAGACATTATCGACTGCAATAGCTACCTCCTAGGGTCATATTGAAGATTAAGTGAATTAATGTGAATAAAATGCACAGCATTCTGCTCTATATGTAGTAAGTGTCTCAATAACTACTAACTATTATCATTAGTAGTTTTGATAACAATAAGTACTTCCTGGAAGACATGCTCCCTGGGCCTCACAATCGTTTCTTTTGTGTATTCAGCACAAAGCTACTTCTGACAAAGAACATAGTAAAAATAATAAACACTTAGAACCAGAAAAGATCTCAAAAGATTACATTGTAAAAACTTTTGCTCAGCCCTGGCTGGTGTGGCTCAGTTGGTTGCAGCAGTGTCCCGTGCACCAAAAGGTTGCAGGTTCGATCCCAGTCAAGGAGCGTGCAGAAGGCACACAATGGGTGTTTCTCTCTCACATCGATGTTTCTCTCTCTCTCTCTCTCTCTATTTCTCAAATTAATTTAAAACTAAAGACTTTTGCTCAAAGCTTAAAGCACTTAGGAGATGTTTTTCTTTATTCTCTTAAAAGAAAAAACGGTGCAAGTTTTTAGAATAACAATGGATTTCCTGGTAATAGCTTTGAGGAAATACTTAAGCACCTGTAGTGAGAAAGAAGAAGAGTGGATGACTTCATATCTGATTCTAAAATGAAGTCCCTGTTTCTATTATAATAAAAATATCCCCAACCCTTTTAAAAGAAAATAGAATTCATATGTGTTTCATTGTTAGAGAATCTTAAGACTGTCAAGGGATTTACTCAAGATTTTGGATGTTTTACTGAATGAGGGAAATATCAGTAAATATAATAAATACACACACACACACACACACACTTGTTCAGGCACTTCCATAAAGGTTGGGTTGGAATTGGTGAAAGTTAATAAAATGCTTCCACCGATTGGGAGAGGAATTGGTTAGCCCTCCAGCCCATATAATCCACACCAACATCACCATCAGCATCAGCAGCAGAGAAATCACCAATGTCCAGACACTCAACTCCTAGACATTATAGCATGTGTCCAGAATACTGTGTTAGAAAACAAGGAAATAAATGGAATGTTTTAGCAATATTTCCATAAAAAGCAATTAAAATATGGAAGTTTGGGCTGGGGCCTGCAAACCCACATCTTTAAATAGGTTCCTCGGTGAAACAAAGAGTAAGATCATTGGCATCATTATCAACTGGTTACTTGGGTCGTAATTGTATTAGGTGAAGTGAATGCTATAGCTGATTATGCATGACTTAACTGTATGTTCAAAAAATGGAAATATGTTCATTCAGATTCTCCAAGAAACAGACCTGGAGACATTTTTTAATGCAAACAGATTATTTGAGAGGTATAGGGAATATTGACAGAAACATAGAAAGAAGGTAACAGAAAGGAAGGCAGCTAATAAGGTGTGTGAGTGAGCCAGCTACCTTGGAGACTGGAACTTAATCCCACTGGAAACTCTTAGAAAATATACAAAGTACACATTTCAGAAGGATCCCTTCCCCTGGAGTGAAGGAGTTGGGGTCTTTATATAATAACTTCTGACAGTCATTGATTGAGGACTGCTCCTAGGAGGTGTTACTTCTCCAACACTCTACCCTGCCCTGCCCTGCCCTGCCCATGGGTAGCCAGGCCCATGAAATGAGAGCTCAGGGGTTCCTGCCCAGAGGTGCAGATAGTGGCAGTGGGACATCTGGGTACACTGGAGGTCTGAGGGATATGAGCAAGGTGTTTAGAGGGCCTTCTACAAGTGATAAACCATTGATACAATGCCTGGCATGCTAGATACGAAGTATCAATACTGTAATAGAAATTGCTGTCATGCAAGTTTATAAGAAAAGTTCTCTCTCTTAATCTAAATAGGATCAATTTTG